ACTTTCATTTAAAAATAATACAATAGGTTCAATTGGTGCTATTGGAGCCATCATATGCCAGAACTTTCATACACCAGTGAATTACTGTAATTCCAAACTCACTCCGCTTGAATTGAATTTCTCTTTGGGTCTTGTTATTATTTAGCTATGTTTAAGCCTCTGTGCCCACCTTTTTGACCTGACTCAGGGTCTCAGGCACACCAACCATTATGGGAACTGATTGTCTTGAATCAATCGTTATTTAGTCAACAATGATTGCCACCTACATTTGAATTGCTAGTTAAAAAAAAAAATGTCTTATTGGGCCAATTTGATGTTTTTCTTGAATTTCTGAAAGACTGCATTAGTTCATACAAATGGATCCATTAGTAGGATCATTACTCAATCAAATGGTGTCACTGGCTCTCCAGTCCTTAACTGATCCCAGCCAACACAAATTAGTGAAATGGTGATAAGAGGGGAGGTATGACTACCCTTGCTCTACATCTTTGTGACCTTTATCAAATTAGAAAATTGGGCTTTGGGCTTTTGGGTGCCAAAGAAGGGACAGTGGCGTTGAGGAATGAGCTGGTCTCAAAGACAGTTATACAGCTCTTAAAAGAGAGGCCTTGGTACTAAAACTGGGCGAGTAGATATAGGGTATAATAAAACCTATTGGAAATACGAACCACACTGTTATTCCAAAAAAAATCCACTTTGTAAGCCCAAAATGAATCTTCACTTTGTTTCATTAATTTAACAACATTGTGCAAATTCTTAAATCCTCTATCTGGGCACAGCCAGTTGTGGCAGATAGATGCACACCAATGACCCTTTTATGTAAGGCCTCTGCCTTTTAAAAAGAGGTTTTTTTTAATGCCATTGTTGCATGGTGCTTGCTTATTGAAGGATTCAGTTGAGCATCTGTAAAAACAAACAGCGTATACCAGTGTCTTGAGATTTGACGCTACAAAATCGATTGATTAAGCTTTATGCTTTGAGGTAGGATTTGAAGACAGTGGTTTACATTTAGAGCCAGGCATAGTTTGAAGGAGATGGTACTCATTTCATAAGGCTATACCACAAGGCTATACCACTTTTTTATGCCCACTTATCATTCATCATGTACCTTAAACTTTTGAATCTTGTATTTAAATCTTGATACCATGTTGTGTCCTGTATATGTCCCTCTACAAGATATGGGAGGCCCATTCTTGCTGAGTAGTTTGTTCTAAATTAAGATTTTGTAAGCTAGCAAGTCATTCTAAGTAGCTTCTAGCCAGAAAGAGATCAACTGAACACAATAGTTAGCTAGCGTGACATGGTTTGCTTTTCACTTGACCAGCTGCCTATCTGCAGACATTAAGCAATACAATTGACAGTGACAATTCAAGTGGCTGTTATAGTAATAAAATTGTTCTGCTTTGGAGCCAACAAAAACGATCATGACCACATAACTGTTGTTGAAGGATAGCAATGATTAGCTTAGCATTTTAGCTAGCTTGGAAACTGATTAATACTGCATAACCTATCATATTTGAAATTCTGAAAATTCGATGGTTCCAGATATTTAATGAATCAAATAGCAAAGGAATTTAAAAAAAAAAAAATAATAATTAAATTATTATAATTTTGACATATACACGTCATGGAATGTATTTGATTTGACGATGTGCAGTAAACACACCATCACCAGCTCATCTCAATGATGATGTTCAATTAGAGTGATGGAAACCGTGCTTTCCCTGGCGGCTCACTTAAACACACTTGCCCTTTCAGCCCCACTTACCTAATAGCTGTTGATAACATTGATCATTTCCACGCTGTCTGTCACCTCCCAGCGCTTCCCATCAGCACTGACAGTCTCGAACAGAAAGCGTATATTGTGTGGCGCACCAAAACCCATGACCTTTTGAGTTTAGGCCACAATTTACTGAAGATTAGCTGAGTCCAACACGGAAATGACTCAGACAAAGGGCAGCAGAATCTATTTGTCTTTAGTTTAGATACTGCTTTATTCTTGGGGGAAGATAGGCCTCAAAAGAAAGCAGAGATGTTTTTTTATTTTGAAAAGAAAGGGTCCTTTAAGAAGTTTGTACTTACAGGGGTTCATTATCAACAACTGGTCATCTCTGCTGATAAGCAGTAGGTGTTTTACTCTTCACAGCAATGTATTCTCTTTCACTCTAATTGGTAATATTTGAAGTTTTGAACACAATAGTGTGTTTATGTTACTGCCCTGCATCATGTCGACTCATTGTTCTCCTCTCATGGGGCCTTGCTCTTTAAATCCACCATTTAGCCCTGGATACAAGGCATTGATATGCTGTCCCTGTTGGCACAATACTTTTTAAACCAATTAGGTGGCCGTGCCTCCCAAGACATCACCATTGACAAGTAGCCAATGCAATTTCCATAACAGAGCGATTGGCACCCTCAAGGGCAGTCCCGCAGCATTGTGGGAATGTGCTGCCATGCATCTTAGCGTTGTTTGGAAAGTCACATCATCAACAAGCCAAAGACTTAAATGTCTCAAAAGGTTTAAGTCAGCAAAGTTTTGAGATTAATTTCTGGGTAAGTAATAATGTCCTGGGTATAACTCATGACTGGCTTGAAGCACGTTACTCTACTGGTGGTGTTTCTCAAGGACAATTACCGGTATTCCTTCCCCTCCCAGCATCTGAGAACACTGTGACCCCATATTACAGCAACGCAGTGAATCAGCTTTATTGGATTACCTCCCAACCTTGACCCCCCCTGCCTGTCTGAGGAGGAGGAGTAGAAGACCATCTCAATGTGGGAACTCATCTCCCACTAAACTACTTCAACATGACTCCAGGCTACAGTAATGTATGAGATCCCTTGGACTCTCTGGGGGTTGTTTATGTTGACCTCTGAACCGACTACGATGAGATAATGGATGTGAAAACCTCCAAATGGAAGGACGCAGACGAATTATGATATAGCCGATGTATATTTAGTCATTAAAGAGGATTTACCATTGATGCTAGTGACTATTTGCAGGGTATTTTAGCTGAAATGATATGGGTATATGGATTTTTTTAAGCTTGCCTGTATGCCCTAAAGCTTTGAGGATTGTTTTGCGTGCATATTGGAGATGTCTAAGGATTTGTATTTGAAAACAAACCAATGACTCTATAGTAACATTTTATCAATCTAAGACTTTACAAAAGAAAGTAAGCCTGATTTTCATTTTAATTTTTCAGACTTCCATTTGCACTGTATGTTCCTTTTTCCTGTGCCTTTTCTTTTTGCCTTTTTAAGCTTTCAAAAATCATTCAGATAAATCACTGGCAGAAACTTCATTTCAAGGAGAGGCTAAACTATTTTATCATTATTTGTTGTGTTTTGTGAACAAGAGCCATCGTATCTATGTGATTCCTCATAGTCCAAGATGTTTCCCCAAGATGCAATTTACCCCCTAGAACATTTGTGGCAGTATGTTAATTATTTTCGGACTCTAGTTAAAAAGTAAAGTGGTCACCAAAGTTACTAAAATCTGTTCTCGAAGAGCAAATGATTTCTGCATTGATTACCATGATATTTTATGGAGACCTGGGTGGAGGAACCACCTGTGGACCATCATCCCAAACCTTAATACCATGCAGCTAGCAAGTACATTATGTAAAGCACATGAGTTTTGATTTGGAACCAGAACTAGGAAGTTACAAAGATAGAAAAAAACAGGCCTTCTTTTGTTTCATTTTTGTAAATTCCATAACTGATAAATGTTCTGATCTCTGTCGTGGTGAATCCAGCATGCAAGTTGATTTGTTGTATTCTTTTCCAGGAGGCCTCTGACTTGCGTCCGCTCCACCTCTATGCCTGTTTTAAGGTTTACAGAATGTCAGGCTGAGAGCATTTTCAGTATGGCTTCAAAGCTACCATTCAGTAACTATTGGATGGCATCACTTAGACTACATCCATGTTTCATATAGTCTGCCAAATCTTCTTGGTTAGGTTTGAGTCATAATTTAAGCAAAAGTAATCCATCAGTTATATTTTCAATAGAATACACCTCCAGGGTGAAACAGTGTTGTTGTGACGTCACTGAGCTGGTTTTAGCATACAATGCAACATAAATGCCCATCTCTGTGAATTTGATTTTTTTCTTTACTCCCATCCAAGTTCAAAGTTTTACTCAGATTTAAAAATATATTTATATATATTTGCAGTTATCAAACAGGTCCAGGTGCCTTCAGGACTGGAGTATAGGGTTGACCCTGATTTGGAAATGGCAGGAGAAACCGAATACTGACTACTGATATTGATATCAAATTTTTATGTTGGTATAAAAGAAACATAGCAAATGCAAATGGGCTTGGCTTTTACTGTTCTATTTTTTAAAAATCTATGAAATGATCCTGTACAGCAGTACTGTTGTTCTTCGCAACACAATAAAAACCATCATAGCTACTGCAACAACACATCAAAATGTTCCATGAATTGTGATGAAATTGTTATGATTGAAACCTGCCTTTGCTTCTCCATGGTCACCACTGCCCTTTAGAAAAGACTGCAACACGTTACAGTCACTGACTCAGACCACTGCATGAATAGATGTCAAGAGATGTTATCACAAACATTTCAACCTTTTTGAAGTATCAAAAGCCTGCCTAAACAAAAAGCTGTAAAGAAACGGTCTTATCAATAATATAGGGCATGTATGTATTTAGACGGTCAGGATCAACATATTGTCTTCTTTGACAAGAAATGAAAGTGTTAAAAACGTCTCTCATAAATGCTCATAAACACTGTGGTTATGCAATCTGTAGAGAGAGCGTTGAGGATTTAAATACAGCTTGTAAATGGCTCAACGCGCCTTTAATTGGCGGGCTCGAACTACTGGTGTGTTAAAAAGTCATTCATTTCTTTGTGTGGAACGACTTCATGTTGAAGCTGTCTCATGATAAATGAATGAACGACTGACAGTAATGACACGCTCTTCTCTGTCTCCCTCCTCCTCCTCCTCCTCTCGCTCTTCTTTCCTCTTCTCGCAGGGAGTTGATCCCATCGGCTCTCGAGCTCTCTCTCACGACAGCATCTTCATCCCAGAGGAGCCGGTGACCGAGGCCGGTCTGGATCACAGCATGTCGCAGGAAAACGTCTCAGATAAAGTCAGGAATCTGCAGGTTTGGACTTGTAGCCGAGTGCTACTCTCTCTTTTTCTAAAACAGTTTTTTTTCCTCCTGTCCTGCAAAACACAATGTGCAACTTTTCTGTTGGTCACACAGAGGCAGATCGCACAGGGTATCAAGTTTGGCCAGAGGCCTCCCTGTCTAAGGAAAAGTGAAGGAGATGAGGAGAGTTCAGATGAGGAAGAGGTTCCGCGCAGTCCTCTGAAGGTGTTGGCTCAGGTGGAGTCTGAGCCGGCAAACACAGAGACAAAGGTAAAGCACAAACATTATTCACTTTTCAGATGACATTTTAAAGGCAAACTCACTTCATTTTAAAACTTGGAGTCTGTTTACAAGTCTGAGGAAGTACCTCTGAATAAATAAAATGTGA